TTTTTTTTTTTTTTTTTGTGCAGTACCATGGATTGAACTCAGGACCTTGCACTGGTCAGGCAAGCACTTATTCCACTGATCTAGCTCCCTAGTCCTCCGCTCATTATTGATGTACAGGAACACTATGGGTTTTTGTGCTAACTTTATATCCAGTTAATTGCTGAATTTAATTATTAATTTTAGAATGCTTTTGTGAAATTTTTGGATCTTTTATGTGAAGGATCATGTCATCTGCAAGTAATGATAATTTGGTGTCTTCCTTCCCCATTCATAACCCTGTTTATTTCTTTCTCTTGCCTGATTGCTTTTGATGATGCATTGAGAAGTACATTGAACAGGAGTGGTCATAACGGACATCCCTTTCTTTTTCCTGATTTTAGACAGAAAGCTCTCAGCCTCTTCCCATATAATATGATATTGACCACAGCTTTGCATAAGTGACTTTTATCAGATTGAAGTAAAGTCCTTTTATAACTATTTTGGGTTTCTTATCAAGAAAGATTGTTAGATTTTTGTCAAACACTTATTTTTACATCTGGTAAGTTGATCATGGGATTTTCATCCTTGCTGCTATTTATGTGATATATTACACCTATTGATTTTTATATGTCAAACCATCCCTGGATCTGTAGGTTGAAACCTACTTGGTTGTGATGTGTGAGTCTCTTGATGATTTATCACATTCTATGTGGCAATATTCTCTTGAGGACTTCTGCATCTATGTTCATTTGAGACACTGGTCCATAGTTTTCTTTTTGCTTCAGTCCTTATCTGGTTTTGGAATCACAGTGATGTTTGTTTCCAGGAATGATTTTGGAAGTATTCCATCTCTTTCAATTTCATTACAATTGGAGGAGTATTGGTGTTGTAACTTCCCTAATGGTCTTATAGAATTCAGCTATGAATCATCATTTAGTTATTTTAATAAGAGTATGACTATCTTGTTTATACTGTCTAATTCCATCAAATTATAACACTTAATGTTCTGCATTTCACTGTATTTAAAATGTTATTTTTCAAAATTAGAAAAAAAAATCATAAATAATTTTATGCAAATGACATCCAATCAGAATTCTTTTAGAAATAAATGATGCATTGGCTGGAGGTATAGGTTAATGTAGAGCACTTGTCTAGCATGCTTGAGGGATTACAGTCAGTGGATGCCCAGAACAACACACCATACTGCCACATTAAGGATTTAGAGGTTTAAGTGGTTTGGGGCTTGATTTTGCCTTTCTGTTTATTCAGTCTACAATTCTGAGTACCTACTCTCTGCCTGCCACTAGTTCAGGAGTTCGAACCCTCACATTAATGAGCAAAGCAGATACTTGCTTTTAAGATGTCAACAACCTACAAGAGGGAGAGTAGGGAAACAGAAAGTCAGGAAAGCATAAAAATAACTCAGTACTAAAATGTCTAAATATGTGAAAAGTGCTATGAGTGAAAAGAACAGAAAGCTTCCCCTGCAGTGACATTACCATTTCATTCTCCATCTACCACCTGACAGCAACTTTTGAAAGTTGTGGACATGACTGTATTCACAGATCAGCACTTTTAACTTTATTTATTCATTTTCCTAAAAGCATCTCAGAAATAAGCATGTATGTGCACACGCATGCAGCACCTGTGTGCATGTGTGTGTACATACATGTATGTCAGGGTGTGTGTGTGTGTGTGTGTGTGTTAAAAAGAATCAGGTTGCCACATTTGCTTTATTCTTCACGCTGCTGCAATATTTAAGAGTGGAGTGAATATATTTGAGGACATCACTTGGGGTGGGTAAAAAGGTTGGATCCAAGGACACTGTGTTCAATGCTAATCACATTTCATGTGCTACTGAGTCATATTCATATTGAGTTATCAAGTCCAAGAGCAGCCTTTTTGTCTTCCATATAAAAGACAAGCTGCTTAAAGTTACAGAATTCAGACGCCCAAGTCATTATGATACGGTTATACATAAAAGATACAGTACAGATAATTCACAATAGACAAGAACCATGTGCTGTAGGAATAATTCTTCCTCGGGTCATAATATCTGGCACAAAACATAAATAAAGTCCTGTTTTTCTCCTTCAGCGCCCTGCTGTGAAGAAATCACTGAGCCAACTTGTTATCTGCCAGGAGCAGCAGTGGTGGGGGGAGCTTTCAGCTGTGGACGCTTGTCTTATATCTTTAACAAGATGTTGACTAAGAACATAAGAAATTCCCCAACAAAAAGCAATAGTACCAATGGTTCAAAGCCTCCTATAGTAAGACAATCTGACACACTAAAATATTACACCCATGCTTTTCCATAGCTAGGAAACACACTCATAAAAACAAAGGGCTTTATATTTTTGCTGTTAGTTACTGTTTTAATTGATTATCTTGGAAAAGCAGTCTCTCGTCATGTTCTTACACATAGGCCTGGACCCTGCAACCTTGAGCCCATGTGGCAGAACTGAACTCTTTGGTGATGGTTAGCAACTCTCTACTGCTTGCTCCTTGGCATTCTGCCTACCCATACACAACTCTGCCCTCTCAGAATGCCTTCTCACATGCTAAAATGCCACCCACAGTTCTAATTCACACTCCTTGCTCAAACCTTTCCCAATCAACATATTCAGAAGTGGTTTCTCACCTCCCAGTTCATAAAGTATAATCATTCATCCCACTTTCATGGTCAAGAGACCGACCAGGTCATTTCTTGTCATAATTATTGCTCTTAGAGTCCACAGACAGATTAGTGTAAGAAGATTCACAGGTTCAATGTGCAAAATACAGGAAGGACTCCATTCTCATAATTGATCTGTAAATGCTGTCATTTATAATGGTCAGTTGTTCTGAATGATGGTCCCCTGATAAAACCACAATTAGATGAGGTACAGTGTCAAGCGCATCCCTTGAAAAATGACTTTTCTTTTTAAAAATTTTTATTAATGCATGTTTGCAGTAATAATGATTACATTCACGGTGGACAGGTACACAGGGCATCTTAATGCTCACTTCCCCTTCCCTTTCTCTCCTTCTCCACTCCCTTCACCTCTTGGTCCCCGTCCCATTTTCAAAATATATGTTTTCCTATTGCCTGTTATGAAAATGGAGGCATCTTCAGGCCATAATGTTTGGTGAAATAAGAAAGACAAGCTTAAATATCACATAGTTTCTCTCATATACAAAACATAAAATATAAAGTGCACAGTTGTTTTTCTTAACCATACATTTTAAAATATAGTGTGAAATTTTGTTTTGCATTTGCACCACCAATACAAGGCTGATCAAAATAATTGAGTAATCAAAGTAGGCTTAAATGGTTTGTTGCTGATGGAATATTCTATGATGCCCCCACAAACTGGCTATCATTTCCTAAATGATCCACAGGACTTGCTGTCAGCCTAGTTTACAAGTCTGCTCAGCAGCCTCAGTGATACCTCATGCAAACTCGAATGCTGCCTGGTTTCTAGCTACTAGAAGGACCTGTCCATGCAGGGATCAGGCAGGAGGTGGCCGCAAGATGCTACACAGCAACCACCATTGCAGTTAATAAAAATATGCAAATAAGTATTCTGCAAAGAAGAAAATTATAAAACCTAGGCTAAAAGTCAGTTCATCATTTTCTTTTTCTTCCCCATTTTTGAGAAAATTTCATGTTTTCCTAAATAATTGAAACAATAAGAAGGATTAGCCCAACTTGTGGAAGTGCACTCCATTCCCAGAGAGCTGTCTTATAACACAAAATAGAGTAGGCGTTCTTACCTCTCAGTTCCCCCATATCCAAGGTTGTCCCCAGTTGTTCTAGCAAAGCAACTCGAGCTGCATTCTTTTTGTGTTTCTTGCCGTCATAATGCTGCTGGGCCATCAGCGGGTTATTGAACCAGGCTGCGCAGAGACCACAGTACCTGTCAGAGTCTCTTCTTTGATAAGGAGATTCGACCACTGGTGCAGCATCCACTCGTGCAGGCTTAAGTGAGCTCAGGGGTGTGGCTGTGAAAGAAAAACCGGACAACCATGGGGCAGCCATTCCTTTGTTTTGTTTCATGTGGTCCTGGGGATTGCACACAGGGGCTTTGCCCTGAGCTACATCCCTGGACAGACTTATTTGCTGACTTTTTTATTTATTCTTATTTTAAGAAAGGCTTCCACTAAGTATCTAAACTGTTTGAATTTTTAGTCCCTGTGCCTCAGCCTCCCAGAGCGCTGAGATAACAGGCACATATGCACCACCAGGCCTATTTATATTTGTCAATTTCCAAAGATTAAGATCCTTTTCCTCAGTATTGAGAAAAGGAAAATTATCTTTGCCAATCTTCATTTTTGACTCAGGACACATATAAAAATTTCTAAGGTGTTTGGATAAAAATGTGCCTACTTTTATGTCAAAATCTGATAGCTGTGTAGTCTATCTATTAAAGGAAAAAATGTATTGAAAAAAACAAAGTCTCCAAAGTTAAGGAGTGTTCAATTAATCAAAATGCAGCTGATACTTCAAGTAAATATCATACAACCATGTGTGGAAAGATTCTGAGTGAATGAGATGAATATTTGTGTGCTATAAAAGCAAATAACAAATAAAGGATTCTCCTAAATGACAGAAGATTTTCCAGTATGAATTGTACCAGTGGGAGAAACCATGCTAATTTGGGTAGTTATTTACATTTACTGGGATAAGCTATTTTTTAACTTGTACCTGCTAAAACTGATTTCAAAATGAAAACATTATTCCAAAAAAAAGGGCAAAAGAAAAACATTATAGAGCAGATGCTGCTTATCTAAATTAAAAAGGCATACATCACTATTTTGAGATTACACAGTCCCCGCTATGAACACATTCCATTGTGAACTCACAACTATTTCTGGCTTGGGGGAAAAGCCCACAATTTAACTTGAGGATTTTACTAATTAAAAGTAAAAATAATTTTGTGTGCATCAACATGCAAATTGCTTCCATCCTTTGATGACTGGCAGGAGCTATGGTCCTATTTCTCAGAAGACTGACTCTGAAAAGCCCCGTGAATGGCTAGAAAAGAGGGATCTTGTTACAAGAAAGACAAAACTCCAAACCAAATGCTTAATTTCCAAGGCCAGTGTTCTTTCCTGGGCCATAAGAACTCCTTTGAAACTAAATAAATATAGTTTTCTTTAGATTTTCACCATTATATTTTATACAGGATTTCACTTAATCTTAGAAAAATATTCTCATTCAAGTATATTGGAGAAGAAAACAGTACTTAGATTCTTCAGTGGCTCTTTTGTCTTCTGTAACTTAGAAGTCCCTCCTGTTCTCCTTATCTCCATGATGAGGCCTGCAGCTCATGAAATCAGGAACAACAGGGCCATTGTTGAAGAAAATGCTGTCATCTGAGACATCCATTAATCTACCCCCGAGCTTTCAAATAACTACATTTTTAGATTCGGTAACCTACAGAGAAATACATATTTGCCAACTGACATTTTATCCAACAAATGCCTATCCCACAACAATTTCCTCAGTAGCTTCAGTGATTTTATCAGATCGGAAGTTTCAGGCAGCTTAGATTAAACTTCGAGATGCTATTTCTATAGTACCAGAAAAACATGTCTCTTAAAAGTCTCATTAAGGGACTGAGTCATCTATAATCATGTAGAAATAAAGCTCAAATATGGACCAAAAATTCTAGTAGCCAGTCATGCTGTTACTGTCTATGGCTTAGAAATGCTAATAAAAGCTATGAATGTGCAATTGACCTGGATTTGAAAGGATCTTTGTCCATTTTTCTCAAGCAATTGGGTCTCACTTCCAAAGTTTCCATGCATCCTTATCAATTTTTGAGGATTTATAGCCAGCTGTTGTTTCTTATGGCAATAGAAAAGATATCAAGTGCTTACAATCTAAACAAATGCCGACTGCTAAAACATAATTTATTGTTGTCTACACTGGAACCTAAAAAACATTTCAGAGTCTGTTTTATCAATTGATACCTGATATTGCATCTTGGCAGGAAAGGGGTACACCAGTGTTTTGATCAAATGAGATAACCTTATCTTGAACATACATAGGCGAGTAGTCTGATGCTATGTCTGTATTATAGCTTCTTCTCGTGAGAGAATCTACTACTTAGAATGGAAAGCCTGAAAGTTTAATTTTGGTTTTGTTTCACTTTCAAGATGTCTTTGCCAAGGTCAAGCCAGTTAATGGTCCCTTACAGCCATGAAGACAAACAAAGGCAGCAGCTTGGACATGGCCTTTCGTCAGAAGCCTGTGTGGGCCTGGGTGTCACTGTCCCTCAGCTGTGTGCGGCGCAGCCAGTCGTTGGAATCTCAGGTTTCCATGGGGTTAAAATCCAGGGCCTCCATCTCCTTTAGAACTAAACTTCTTTGCAGATAGGGGCTCGTTAGGTGGAGATGGAGCAGATCGGGGAAGCTGTCTCCCTTTTACAGCTTTGACTGGATGCCAAATATGGAAATTACATGGGAGGAGAGCAGTATCCAGGTTTTAATGATAAATCTGTGTGCATACATGGATCATAACACTCATAATCTTTGGCAAAATGTATATTCTAATAAAATGAATACAGAATGAGATGAGATTATCTTTTGGTTTAAAAGCATCTTTTTAGCAAAACACTAACTGAAATGTAAATTTTGCTTTACTTTTATACTTTAAATTTTCACTCTAATCCCAAAAAAATGCTTAAGAGGCCAGTGATTTTATTTATCTTTTATAAAACTTAAAACCCAGAGTTAGTTTATCAAAAACAGTGTTATTACTATTAAATGTTGCCAACTTTAAAAGTCTCTGTATCCAGGCTGTTGTCAGGGATGAGAGCCAGCACTGGCCCCTCTTCCTACCCTGCCCATCTTTGCAAAATACAGTCCATGTTGAGAATCGCTGATCTGTTCTATCCCTGGGCCTGCTGTGCTGGTCCCGCCCCCAGGGTGTGTTGAGCTGGGAGATTGAGATTGGGTGTGGTGCTGTGCACCTGTAATCCCAGCACTTGGGAAGCTGTAAACAGGCGGATCACTACGAGTCTGATTTAATAGTGAGACCCTGAACACCCTGTAGACCCTTCCCTAAAATACAGAAAAAGCAAAAAAGAGAATCACTGATCTAAATATTGTTAGATTTCCTTTGAAATTTACTGTAAAACTTTCTTAGATGTCCGTTTAACAATAGTCCCATACTACATATAACAACAGTAGAGTTAGTTATTCTATCAGCAGTAAAAAAAAATTATGGCTTTATTTACAAGACAGAAAGAAAGAATAATCATTGTTTTATTTTTGTTTTTGGTTTTTCTTGTTTGTTTTTTGGGGGGTTTTTTTGTGGGTTTTTTTGGTACTAGGGATCAAACGCAGGCCTTCACATTTACCAGGCAGGTGTTCAAGCCGCTGAGGTATTTTCCAGTTCTGCAATTGCTCCTTTTTAAACACTAGTCAATGCTTCCATTTTGTTAAGACATAAAAAGTACAAACTACTAGCTAATACTTTTGGTGAAGTTAGACAGCAATTTAGATTCTTTTTCCGATGAAGAATCTCGAGCACCCGTGGAGCTTTCATGCCCTCTGTCTTGGTATCACTACACTTTTACCAGTACGGTTTGGGCACTGTAGTGTCCTCTTCCTGCCAAGGGGCCCCAGCCCTACAGGATGCCACTCCAACTCATCTATACCTTGAGGCCTTGACAGCCTGAGCAAGGATGTGTTCTCCTCCTTGGAGCTTAGGAAGCATCTATAAGTGTACAATTCCCGTGGCAGGTCCTAACAGCACCTTGTAATTGTAGTTGTACCGATTTGTATTTGTGTGTGAGACTATTTATAGCCTGCATATATAACCACTCATTGTAAACATACATACATAGTGTGACAGTATTGATAATAGTTTGGATCAGAGAGTGCTAGCCCAGATCCACATAAGCATGCTACAGTGTATGCCTTATTACATATTCGAGGTCCTAAAATTTCTCATTTTCAAAACGCTTTCAGCCCAGATGTTCGAAACAGATGAGCATGGATCTAAAACTGATTACGAGCCACTAAAACCCATGTGACTTTATGTCTGTTTGAGAAAAGTGAAACAAATCAGTCTTCAAGATTTAATTTCTAATCATCACTGGTCCTGGTCTAAATCTCAGTACCCTTTCCTGGGTGTCCCAGAGTTTGAGGAGGGGCAGGTTCTCAACAGCTCTTTGTAGACTAAAGTGTGAGGTGTCCTGAAGAATAATAAGAAAGGATGTGTCCTTGTCAGTTGATTAAAGGACAAAAATGTTTACAGAGCTGTGTTGGTGCTCACCTGTTATGCCAGCACTCAGGAGGCGGAGGCAGAAGCACTGCTGTGAGTTCAAGGCCAGCCTGGATCACATACCACATAGCGAGACCCAAAAATCCAATAAAAAAGTTTGTAAAACCCCTTGTCTCTGTCTCTGTCCTGAACCTGCCCCTGCTCCTACCCTGCCCCTGCCCCTGCCCCATCCTTGCTCCTGTCCCTGACCCTAATCCTGTCTCTGTCCCTATTCCTGACTTTGTCCCTGACCCTGGCCCTGTCCCTGTCCTTGTTCTTGGGTCTGACCCTAACCCTGTCCCTACCCTGACACTGACCCTCTCCCTGACCTTGTTCTTGTTCCTGACCCTAATCCTGTCTCTGTCCCTGTCCCTGTCCCTGACCCTGTCCCTGTCCCTAACCTTGATCCTGTCCCTGTTTCTGACTCTATCCCAGACCCTGTCCCTGTCCCTACCCTGACCCTGACCCTGACCCTGTCCTTGTCCCTGTGAGAGAACTTCTCCTGTCTATGATGTCACACTGTCTACATTGGGGCGCTTCCTGGCACCAACACGTGTGTGGTGTTGGACACACAGTGTTTATTCATGCTTTGGAGGAGTGAACAAACAAGCGCTCCTCACATAATAAGTGAGTAAGGCAGAATGGCAACAAAGAATTGTCCTATTTCTTTTAAACTGTGACACTGAGGATACAGGAAGCTCTGTGTTCCATTAATCACTGTAAATCA